CATGCCATTATATCATAGGGTTACTTTGTAGTGAATATGAAAGTACCTTACAATAATGTATAATTGACATATACTTTTAATTAGTGTGTTACTAGCTGACTTGGGAAGATTGATCATTCTCAATACTTCTGAGGGAAAATGAGAAATTCCCAGAAGATCTGCAAAAGATGACTTCTAAACTCCCAAGTGATTTTTGAATCAAGTATTTTTTTAATGACTCCATAACTTAGGAAGAGAGACAGTCTTTTCAAAGTCTTTGTTGAAGGGTAAGAGTAAAGAGTGATAATACTATTTAGGTAAGTTGTTATGTGGGAGGCACTGTGGAGTCCAGTTAAGATGAACACCTGAGAGCAGGCTGACTTGGATTATGCCTTACAGGCCTTAACTTTGCTAATTTTACATCCCAGATCACAAGTCTTAACCTCTTTTTGCCTCAATTTCCCATCTGCATTTGCATTTTGAAGAGATGGGAAGGAATGGATACATTAGGGTCATTTTGTGTGTGTGTATGATGAAGAAATTTGCTGACAGTAAAATAGAAAATACTGTATTTAAAAAGAATTGTATCAGTGAATAACAATGCTTGCAAGTGAATATTTTTAGGACAGAAAAACATATTTTTATACTTTTTAGAAATGTGATAATATGTGAAAACACTGTCTCTCTGTGCCTAATGTCAAAATTAAGCACTAGATGTAAAGTATAGTGTATGTGTATTTTAAATAGCTTACAGTCACTTTAATAAAGAAGAAAACAATGATGCTAGCTGACTAAAGCCCATATATATCACGGATAGAGAAAATTGGTGTTCTTTTGAATAATTCATTAATTTTGCCTTGTAGAAAATACAAGGTGAGTTTAACAATCATGGTCTCATGGTCGCCTGCTATCTGCATTTCAGAATCCATAATGGTGGATGACTTTTCCAAAGAGATTTTTATAAATTATATACATGTTGAAACAAGATCTATTCCTGTCCTCATTTCACAGATGGAACAAATAAGACAAGATAAGAGAGTTGTTCAGCATTACTTAGTAGGCTGAAGTTCTTAGCTTTACATTGAAATAAATTGCAAAGGCAATAAATAATTCTATAAAATGTAGGTAAACCCTGGCATGCTTGAATGTTTTCTCTAAACAAGATCATCATATAAGGAATAACTACAAGAATGAAAAAAGGAGTGGCTCACTAGTTGAAATAAAGTAGGTGTAAAGGAAGCAGCTGAAACGGGTGTTATTTCAATTTGGTTGATAATGAGTATAAACAGGGAAAAGTAAAAATTACTCCCAAGCTGTTGATCATGTCACTTTAAGAAACAATTGTCATATGTCTAGGTAATTTCATGTGCAGAAGCTACACCAGCTGAGTCAGCATTTGCTTGAGGATTACACTTCATATCAAGTAAGTTGATTGGAATTTTATTCACCATTTCCGCATGACCAGCCTCTTCCAAATCACTTTCTCTTTAAGCTGTGACAATAATATCCTACATAGTGACTCTGCTTGTGTTTTGCTCCTCTGCAGCCCATTCTTCATGCAGTGGTCCGATGTTCCATCTGACCGTTGAGTCAGTTCATGTCTATCTGCTTTGAGGCACTGCCAGTCAGAGTGAGGTCACAGATCACAGGATGGTCTGCAGAGCTCTGTGAGATCTGGCATCAAGTTGTCCTGGCTCACTCCCTTACAGCTACCATCCATTAGTCACTGACTCTAGGTCCTCTGGCTCTCAGTGACTCTCCCTTGCTGGCATTCATATCTGTAGTCATCCTGAAGGTTTCTTATTACTTCTCTTTCCTTACTCCATTCCTTTAGTGTTATTATTACTATTTCTCAATAAAGCCTTCTTTGAAAACCTCTCACAGAATGATCCCTTTTTGTAGACTGTTTCCTGTTTCCCTCTTTATTTTCTCATACATCTATTACAATCTGCCACACTGAACAACTTTTTTCTTGTACCAGGGATTCAACTCATGACCTGATGCTTGCAAAACAGGCACGTATGCCACAGAGCTAAATCACCTGCCCAACAATTCTTTATAAAAATGCTGTCCTTTGTCTCTTCCTACTTGAATATGAAAGTGAGCTTCACCCATATTCTTTAGTGCTCATTCTCTGCTTTGTGGTATTCCAGGTGCAAGTATAAATAAATAGCAAGAATTTAGAAATGACCTTATTCACTAATCATTAAACAGGCTTTGAAACTGTATAGCCATTGCAGTAGCCCCCATGTGTAGGAACACACATGCACATGTGCACACACCAAATTGACAATAATTTGTTCAAGAACTTATATGTATGTATGTATGTATGTATGTATGTATTTTTGGTACCAGGAATCAAACTCAGGACTCACTCACCAGGCAAGTGCTGTGCAACCTTTGTTTTATTTTGATTGATTAAAAATGCTCATAATAATAAACTCTGGGTGAGACCAGAGGTGGGAAATTAATAAAAATGTTTTATTTCATATTTTTTCCATCTGATTCCAAATAGAAATAAATCTCAAATAGAGTAAAATAGACTTGTTTGTGAGGAAATAACGCAGAGGGTAAGAAGATGTGTATCTTTGTGATTCTTTAAATTTTATTGGTAATTTTATCATGAAATGACAAAACAATTTTCAAAATATACAGCAGTCATGAATCTAATACAACTATAAAATGAAATCATGAAAAAGATTTTACTTAGCACAGTAATCAGAGACAGGAGAGTGAAATACAGTGATGTGTACAGAGGAGAATGCAGTGCCTACATTTACATTGTTCTGTTGGAGATTTGCGATGAATTTACAAATAAATTCAAATCTCTTACATGTAGTGCTCAGAAAGGTCAACAGAACTTCCATTAGACAATATTTGTAGCTCTGTCTGCAATGATTATTTATGGTATCATCTGTTTGCTACAACTTAGAAGGTCCATGAAATAGCTTCAAGACAGTAAAAGGCACAGGCTTTGTAGAATCCAGGATTTCCTTCACCCTAAAGTCAGTGCCCTTCAATACACACAGGCTGAAGAAACAGGGTTCTGCAAGGAATCTACAAATATGCTGAATGTGTACATTTTAAAAATACACATTTAAAGACATATTGCTATTGGTCTCTGATAAAGTCCTTACACTCCCCAGTTTTGGGCACACTCATCCTGTTGTTCCAGGCACTTTTAATTAGGTCCTGAAAGTCAACTTTCACAAATGTCTACCTGCGCAATTGGGGCTGCCTCAATATACAGAATTGATACAAATTATTTTCTTTTCAGTCTCATTTTGACCTTGAAGTAGAGCCAAAAGTCTCACAGTTTCAGACTCAGTGAAGAACGTGGATCCGGACACACTAATGGTTTTATAAGCCTGCTTTACCATTGCATGAATCTCAGGCAGCAGATTTCACTATATTTTTATCAAAACTCATAAAAATACTCACAAAATAGACTTCCAGAACTACTTCAGAAAGCATGATAAGGTAAGTGTCTTTGAAGTAGAAATATTTTGAATGACATTGATGGCCAAGTGTTAACTACTGTGATATGGTTTTTAAAGCTTAAAAATTCACTGTATATTTTGACCACCTCTTAGAGTCATCTTAATGTTATACTTCAGCCCTTCACAAGAAAAACTTTTCAAAAATCATTTTGACAACAGTGGCGGGTCTACTTACTGACTGTGTCCCAAATCATAGTCACTTTTCTATACAGCTTTTTTGAGAAATCATCTGGCTAATTCACTAAATTTCCCAGGCTGAGCTTGAATTTGCCATCCTGCCTCAGTCTCCCAGGTCACTGAAGTCAGAGGTGTGCACCACCATGCCTAGATTAAGAAAAGACTTTCAATGTTACATTGTATAGTGTTTCCTGATAAGTAGTAAATTTATTTATCAGGTATATCTCAAAAGCATAGTAAATGACAATTGAATGAAATGCACATGCAAAAAATAATATTACTTCATCATTTACTTATGTTTACCAAGAAAATTATAATTTTTTTCTGCAATCTGAGAGTCTTGATACTAAATGAAAATTTATAGTTTGGTTATGATTGCTTCTCAAGTAAAATCTTAGAGTTACAAAAAATAAAACAAAAACAAAAAACTAATAAGGGCAGATAAAGCCCCTCAAGGGTAATAACAGCAGGCAGTATCACCACCACCTGGCCTGAAACTGAATGTAAAAGTGATTGTGGGAACAGGAGAGGCCTGCAAGACATTTAAGGTGTCCCCTAGCAAGCAGCAGTCAGTGGAAGGCACCCTTTTGTCCACAGTGTGGGAGACAGACAGCCAAATATATGCCTGACAGCCTCTCTCCCCCCTCCACCCTACATTCGGTTGCCCCTGCTCATGGGTTAGGGAGGACTGTTGAACTGACCCTGGGGTCAGCCACCAGGGTGCCAGGCATAAAGGAACATCTGAAGGACGGAGCGAATGTGTTTTGCCCTTAGCCGGAAAAAGAAAAAAATATATAGAAAAACTGAAGTTTTTCTATACATAGGTATTCTCAACATAGGTATTCATTTAATTCATATTTATAGAATGTCTTTTGAAGCAGATGACTCTGAATTAAATTATTATTATTTTTTAAATTAGAAGAAATTTGCAGTTCATAAAGTTTGCATTATTTATTGGGAATTGGTATAGATATGTATTGATTCCTTTACCTCCCTTCCCACAAAGAAGTTATTTTGCAGTTTAACAATTTCTAATAGAAGACAGGGTGCAATAGACGTTACACGTCAACAGTTTGTGCAAGTGAAGCTTGTCAACAGTGATATAAAGGGGGTTTCAGCAGCCTTGTTAGAAGCTAAAAGGGCTTCAAAGGGTTGATAAAATTTCCTTTTATGATATAGAAAACTTGTGTGTTTATTCTCTTCTCAAATACAATGAAAGAAAATATCTTATTTTACTAAAGTTTTTGGCTTACCTGATGAGCCAGAATTTGTTGACTCATCATATGGACTATAAAGGATTTTATTTTTACAGGTTAATCAACCAACTCTGAATTTAGCAATAGCACCGAAATGGATAAAAACAAAATGAATGTGACTGAATTCATTCTCATGGGGCTGACACAGAATTCTGAGATGCAAAAATTTCTATTTTTTGTCCTACTTATCACCTACATTGTCACTGTCACAGGAAACCTGCTCATTGTCATTACTGTAATCTGCAGCCAGACGTTGGACTCCCCGATGTACTTTTTCCTGGCATTCTTGTCCCTGATAGATGCATGCTACTCCTCTTCCATAATCCCTAAAATGTTAGCTGATTTGCTTTCTGACACAAAAACTGTCTCATTCAATTTCTGCGTGACACAACTTTTTCTTGAACATTTCTTAGGAGGTTCAGAGATTGTCCTCCTTGTGGTCATGGCCTACGACCGTTACGTGGCCATCTGTAGACCCCTGCACTACGTGACTGTGATGAACTACAACATGCGCTGCATCCTGGTGGGGGTGTGTTGGACAGTGGGCTTTCTCCACTCCTTTGGGCAGATTCTAGTCACGTTCTGGCTCCCATTCTGTGGCCCTAACAAGATAGATCACTTCATGTGTGACATCTTTCCCCTAATACAGCTTGCCTGCACTGACACTTTCCTCCTTGGGCTCTTGGTTGCTGCTAACGGTGGAGGAATGTCCATCATCACCTTTATTGTATTGTTGTTATCCTATGTGGTCATCCTGTGCTCTCTGAGAACTCGTAGCTCTGCAGGGAAGAAAAAGGCCCTGTCCACCTGTGGCTCCCACATCACAGTGGTCGTCTTGTTCTTTGGGCCCTGTGTTTTTTTGTATTTACGACCAGTGGCTAGTTTTCCCATGGATAAACTAGTGACAGTATTTTATACTCTGGTCACTCCCATGTTAAATCCTATCATCTACACAGCAAGGAATACAGAAGTAAAAAATGCCATTAGAATGTTATTAAGCAGGAAAACGATTTTAGAAAGTAAATAATCTCAAAAAAATTTACTTATTTCATGTTCTTTAGAATTTCATATTTCATGGAAGTTGCCCTTATCTATGGACACTATAGTTCCAGAAGACTGACTGGATAGATGTTACTTAGACTGTGACTCTCACCAAAATGTGTGTATATACTATATTTTCCTTAATATACATATACATCATAAAGTTCAATTTATAACTCAAACTGATAAGAAACAATAATATTAAACATGTATAACAATAAATTGTAATAAATTGTTGCACTATAAAGCCATTATAAGCCGTTACTGCTTATTTGAGCTTAAGTATTGTGACACTGTGACAATTGATCTTATAATTTAGACCATGTATTTATGCTGGTAAAAGGATTCATATCATGAGTAAGATAAAGGGACATGGTATAGGGTTTTCTCACACTACTAAAAATTACATGCAAGTTACAATTTACGAATTATTTCTTCAATTTTCAGTTTCTGGACCATGATTGGCCGTAAAACAGGAATTTGGGAATTACTACATCTTAAATCTTCCTTAGATCTCTTGTTTAACTTTAAAATACCTTCTAAATATTCTAGATATTACTATGGTCATTCCTATTGTATAGATCAGGAAAAATGAAGTTCAAATACTTTAAATAAACAGCCCAATGTCAAAACCATTAGTGTCAGGTATACATTTTACAGTCAAGTTTGAGACTCCTAATGGATAGCATCATGCGATATAGATATAGATGATATAGATAAAGATATAGATATATAGATAGATTGCAGAAAGAGAGTATTTAGGTCAAAATGTTTCCTCTGGGTACCAAGTTGATAAATTTCTATTTCAAATTACAGACTTGCACAGCATGACTTCATTTACATGCAGTAGGTGCTCAGATGTCTGCACTGACTCCTGGCATCTAAGAATGGGGTGTAATCTAGAAAAAAGACATTTAATACCTATCTCAGGACACAATACCTCTGATTTTAAGATTATATTGAGCTTTATATTCTGCTTAATAAAAGTTTTTCAGTGATTTTAGAATTGAATTTCAACCTATGTGAAATTTTATTTTCCCCAGAAGATTACAACCAACTCTCAACACTGGAATCTACTGATGTAATTGTACAGAATAAAGAGAGGGATCAGAAAAAGTATATAACTAAAACAGAACATGTACATAAACTTTGAACAAAAATACTATTTTTATTTCACAAGCTTTGATTATTTTATTTTACAAAATCAGGTTTAGTATTTGATTATAGTTTCATTTATAAAATGTTTTTTTTTCTTTTTCTTTTTTCTTTTTTTTTTTTTTTTTTTTTTTTTTTTTTTTTGTCTTTTTATCGGTACTGGGGATCGAACTCACGACTGCCTGCTTCCAAGGCAGGTGCTTATGCCGCTGAGCTAAATTCCCAGGACTATAAAATGTTTTTGATTATATGTATATAATATTGATGATATGTAGTTAGAAATGTTTTTATGTTAAAAATCTCTAATGAGTAATACAATTTTTAAATGTGTAAAATATAAACAGTTAAATAAAAGTATATTATAAATATTAAATTAATAATAAATATAAATATTAAAAATTATTGTAATGCAATGAACATAGTATTAATCACAAAATAACTGTTGATATTACAAGCACTATTACTCATTTGAATCTAGAATCTTCTTTGAAAATTTCTTTAGAAACATGCATACACAAACACTCTCCTTCTTTACTACTGTGAAACCCTGTTTCTTCTTAGAACATTACAAGAAAGAAAGCCATTACCAGATGCAGTTCCCAATTGTGAATTTTCCGAAATGTGAGCCAAAATGGAATTTTCCTTACAATTCAAACAAAGGAAGGAAAAATAAACTAACTTCACTTGTGTAGCAGGTTACAAATCAATCTTCAACAATCAGTAGGACTCCTATACACCAATAACAAACTCACCAGGAGAAATTAGGGGAAAAATTTTTATAATATCGTCAAAGAAAATTAAATTCTTTGTAATTAACCTAACCAAGGACATGAAAGACAATGACAATGAAAATTATAGGGCTCTGAAAAATGGAGCTCAAAATGTGTCAGAAAGTGGAAAGATAACCTCTGTTCCAAAACAGGCCAAAACAGTATAGTCAAAATGGCCATATTTCCAAACTTGTAAAGATATAACACAGTCTCAGGAAAATGCCAATATTCTCCCACAGGGCTACAGAAAGCAGTCTGAAATTCATATGGAATGAAAACAGCCAAAGCAAGTCTAAGCAACAAGGGCAAGAAAATCAGCACGAGGTTCCCTGACTTCAAGTCACACTACAAAGCCAAAGTGATAAAAATAGTACGGTATTCACAAAAACAAACTTGTGTATCATTGGAACAGGTACAGAATAGAAAAACAATTCTAGGTGTACTCAAATATGTTACGTTTCACCCGCCAAATACTTTTGCTGGAAGTTAAGATAGCTTCTTTCACAAATGGCATTTGGGAAACAGGCTAATCTATGCTAAGGACTGAATCTTCATCCATATCTCTTACCAAGCACTAAACTAAATTACAAATGGATCAAATATCTGAACACTATAAGAGAAAAAAATTTTGTAATAAAAATATATAAAATAATTGAATGCAAAATTGTACACAAAGACCTGCCAATCGGTACCCTGGTAGTAAATAATAATAACAATAATCAATAAGTAGGATCACATCAGATTATAGCTTCTGCATAGCAGAAGAAGCCTCTAACTGAGACAACCTACAGAGTGGGAAAAATTTTGCCAGCTATTCCTCTGAAAGATGATAACTATCTAGAAAATATAAAGAAGTTGAAAATCGAAGACCTCCAAATTTGAGAACCAAATTCAAAAATGAGTATCTGAAATGATTAGACATATCAGGATAAGAAGTATAAACAAACAAAATAAATACGTGACAAAATATTCAACATGATTGACCATTCGAGAAATGCAAATTAAAACAACACTGAGATTCCATCTTTCTCCAGAAAGAATAGCTATCATCAGTGACAAATGCTGTTGGGCCTCTTAGAAAAAAAGCAACTCTTTCATTTTATGTGGCAGTTTAAACTAGTACAACTATGGGAATCAGCATGGAAATTCCTCAAAAATTGAAAATAGATCTTCCATTTGACCTAGATATTCTCCTTCTAGACAATATGAATTCTGTGTTTGAGTATTTTCTTCCCTTCAGCAGTGTTCCTTTGCTAACCAAAGGGATAACACAGTTCTTAAGGTCACTTTGGGAAGTACGCATTATTTTTGTTTGATATTTTGGTCACGAAACTGTCAAAGATGATACTATTATTTTTACTGTTTTTTGCCAGCTGTGATCTGATTCATATTTAATTACTGCTTTCATTCTCATTTTCCTCTTCACTTTGAAATATTTATTTCTATCTAAAAGTTTCCCACTGCTTTCATATTTTTTCTGAAAAAAATAACTTTCCCTTATTGCTCCAAAATTCTTCTATTAAAAACCTTCTTTCGAGGTTCCTGAGGCACCTTGACCTGTGGTGAGTGCCCAGCACAGTCTGCCCAAATCGCAGACTGTTCCGGACCCCCCAGGCTTCTGGGTGCAGTGAAGTGGAGCAGTGGGTTAGAGGCCACTACATCTGCCTCCCCATCCCGGCTACACTTGGAGGTCTGCTGAGCTCCCGACAGGTGGGCGGGCCTACACTATCCCGCGAGCCCAGCCGCGCCTAGCCATCGGTGTGCAGAGGAGGAGCTGGGCGGTTCTGGAGTGCGTGCAGAAGACCCTTCCTTTGTTTGGAGGACTGTGGATATCTCTGCAAACAGGGAGGGATCACAGGCTCCTGAGGCACTGCGGCCGGTGGTGAGTACCCTAACCCGGCTGCGATTGAATAGCTGTGGAGCTTCCAAGGGGCAGGTGGGCACACAGTGTCCCTGAGGCCCAGCTTGTCTGGAACTGCGGAGTTCTGAAAAAGCAGAGGAGGGCCATTGGTTCTGCAGGCCCAATGGCTTAGGGTAGCATGGTGCCAGAGTCTCAATAGCTGCAAACATAGAAGGGGATTTTCAATAGATCCTGAGGAAGCTTTCAAATAACACTTGACACACAGAAATATAGGAAAATGACAAAACGAAAGACCAAATTACAACCTCAAACCTCCAGCCCATCTCAGGAAACCCTAGGAGGAATGTATTTAGAAGAAAATATACCCCATCCACCTCATATATCAGACACAATAGCTACTGAAGTTGACAAGCAACTCCAGGAAGCTTTAAAGAAATTCAAACTCAAAATAATATCCCAGATAAAAGAAGAAATGATAAAAGAAATGAAAGAGATTCTAAATATATCTAAAGAAAACACAGATAAAAAATTGGAGGAACTAAACAAAAATATAGAATCCCTAGACGAGCAATATAAGAAACAAACAGAATACATAATGCAGATGCACAGAGATATACAGGAAATAAAAAACTCCACTGAAAGTTGTAAAAACCGCCTTAATGAGAGTGAAGATAGAATTTCAGACCTTGAAGACAGGATTGCAGCTAGTGAACAGGAAAGGAAAGATCTTTTAAAAATAACAAGGAATCAGGAAACAACAATTCAACAACTGCAAGACGATGCAAAGAAGAATAACATAAGAATGATAGGGATTAATGAAAAAGAAGGAGACAACATAAAGGATATCAAGAGGATATTTAGAGAAGTAATAGCTGAAAATTTCCCAAGCATGAGATCAGAAACTGACATCAGGATCAGTGAAGCATATAGAACTCCAAACACTCATAACCAAAATAAAACTACACCCAGACATATAATAGTCACCATCCCAGAAATCCAACACAAGAATAGATTATTAAAAGCTGTCAGAGAGAAACGACAAATCACTTATAAAGGAAAACCTATCAGAATCACAGCAGACTTCTCAGCACAAACAATAAAGTCAAGAAGAGCATGGAGTGAAGTATTCCAGATCCTAAAGCAAAATGATTTCCAACCCAGACTGATATATCCTGCAAAACTATCATTTAAAATAGATGG